TTTGTACAGGTTAAGACAACTGTTTAAATTAAAATTGACTGTACAGTATACGAAGTAGAATGCCTTATAATAGTGTGTTTTTATGTATAAGGCAACGGTTCATTAATTTTAATGTTCATGTTTATTTGTCTTGTGCATTAATTTATTATTTATTTATTATTTATTTTAATTTTTTTTTATATTTTTTGTGGTTCAAATAATTTTATGATTGCATTCTGAAAATGTTTTTAATTTGTAACGTATAAAAGTTTGAAGTGTACGGTACATAAGTTTTCCTACCATTTCACTTAAATAGTAAAGTGATAATCAATAATTTCCAATCCGAACATGACATAAAATTGGATAAGATTCAAGGGTAAAATTGTCAATTGCTAGGAAACTTATGAGATGTTTTAAAAATAAGTTATAGTTTATCCATGGGTCCACCATATCATAAATTACTTACCAAATCTGAGATAGGATTAAATAAGTTATTTTTATCCCACTACTAATCACGGTTATTGGGATTTCATTGGATTGGTTAAGACTTTAAATCCAATCCAGTGTAGTCCAACCGTGATTTGCCAAACATGCCTATGGGTTACTGATATCTTCTTCGGGAGGGATAAATGGTTGAGTTTCCTACGGCCGATGAATTGAAAGTCAACGTTTATCCTCCCCCGTTTTTTCTATCCAAAGCAAGGATATGTGAGTCCCCGGATATGTTTATCCAATCCAACTAGTCTTATCCCTGTTTATCCCTCAAACCAAACACCACCAGTAGGGTTAGAGTCTACTTTTAATGCAGGTAATACTATAATAGGTTTTTGGATGAGAAGAGGAGCAGAGATTAACTCCGAAAATCTTGGAATGTCATCTTATGTGTATGAAGGATTGAGAGGGTGCAGCACTTAGAGCTTAGAGTAGGAAATTTGACATGACTAAGGACTTTGCAATCTTAGATATGAGTAAATGAATCAAATGAATAGTACAAAAAAATAATCTATTTTTTTTTATATTTATTATACCCATTTTGTATTTTTATTTCAAATTGTATCTCATGCAATGCATTATTTTTATTTTTTTAATATGTATTAATTCTCTAACTTTGGGGTAAGACTCATTACGTCCCCTTTTGATGCAATTTTTTATTTTATATTAATTAATTTTCTTGCATAGCTCGAGGTTTACCCAAAAATTTGTAAAAAAAAAAAAAAGTATTTATATTAATTAGTTAAGAATTAATAATATAGGCATGACATGACCCAAGCAAGAGACATGACATGGCAGGGGCACGGGCAGGGGCACGGGCATAACCACAACCACAACCACAACCAGGCACGAGCACATATTAAGTCATGTCCATGGGCCGTGTCGTGTCCAAGTTCAAACACACAAAGCACGGGCACAAGCACAACACTGTTCAAAATGGGTCGTGCCACGGATAGCATGAGCACAATTAAGCACGACCGTTATTAGGTTAGGCCGGTATGACACGTTTGACAGCACTAATTGTATTATCCACTGTAGCCAAAGAGGGGGGCCAACAATAATAGAAACCAAAATAATTGTACCAAAAAAGAAAAAAAAAGAAAAGAAAAGAAAAGGAGGATACCCGCAAAAAGAAAATCTGAAGAAAGTCATCGAACATAATTAGATTCATGTCCAATTAGGTTAGTATCGTATAGAAGTTAGGTTTAGCAAAATTGTGTTGCATCTATTCATGCTCCTATTGAATCATTTTATTGAGAAATTTAATGGGTTCATCCATTTATTAGCCAAATCTGCTAACCTTAAGTTGAATTCTAATATTACTTCTATCGAATATTACAGTAGGAGTTGAATTCTCAACTTATAAGTATAATAATTGTCAAGATTGATGTAATTTTCATCTATTTTGATCTAATGATACAAAATTCTTCACAAATTTTTTTTTTCCTCTCAAAAGCATTATTTTCTCTACATGCCTCCCAATATCAAACAACTCAACTAACATATTTTATAATGCCATATGATTTCATGAATCCCCACATATTTCTCTCTTATTTTCTCTATTTTTACTTTAATTTTTTAAATTTCATAATTAAAGAAAAGAAAAGAAAAGAAAAAATAAATTAATATTTAAAATATAAATGTTGAATGATCAATGCTTTTTTTTGTATTGCAAAGTGTCTTTCTATATGAGGAGTTTATTTAATACTATAAGTAGAAAGTTAAATCCTCAAATTATAAAAGTATATTAACGATTAAAATTGATCTAATTTTTATTTGTTTATTCAATGATACAAAATTCATACATAATTTTTTTATAACTCAAAAACTTCATCTTTTCTACGGGACCCTAATGATAGACAATTCAACCTATACGCTTTCCAATGTCAAATAACTTCATTAATTTACACTTAATTTTCTCTTTTCTTTTTCCTATCTTTTTGATTTTTTCTTTGTTCACTTTAAATTTAAATTTAAATTGCGTTATTAAAAAAAAATTACTATACGATTTATATTTGATTTAATATTATAAGATGTCTTTAGCCACATAATTATTGGTAGTAGTCCTATGTCGGAGAGCTACCATGACATCAAGAGAGAGAGGAGGTCAGATGTGAGATGTGACTCTTACCCCCACCCCAAAGGGAAATGCCCAACGTGATCTCTGTTTTTTAAATTCTCCAAACTATTTTTCGATTCTACAAAATGTGAAAAACAACATAGATAGAAGCACGCAAAAAGTGAGGCCTTGTTTGGTTTGGGTATTAAAAATAGATTTTTATTTTCAGATTTCGAAAATAAGAAAAAACTTGTTTGGGTTGAAAAAACGAATTCAAGTTGTCTTTGAAAATTCTTTCCAAAGCCATATCAATTTTAGAAAACACCAAAAGGTGTTTTTTCCGTTTTGGAGTTAAAAATTTTGGAAACATGAGAAAACATTCACCGCAAAGTTGATACCATTTTAATATTGATGACATGATATCACCAATTAATAATAAAATTTTAAATGAATATAGTGAACTCTACTTGGATAGTTATTATTTTATATGATAAAATAGGGAATAGTTATTAGTTTATATGAACAGATAGTTATTGATTTGTGTGGAGTCCATTTTCCTATTTATTTATACATTAAAGTATCTCTGATCATAACTCAAATTTAGACTCAAATTTGAGTTTAAATTTGAGTAAAAAGTTAATTTGGTATAGAGTACTCCAATGAGCAAACTCAAATATTTACTCAAATCTTTTAAAAAATTCCTTTGTTATCCCAAAACTTATTTTTTTGTCATTCAAATCATGATATTTGATAAAATAAATGAAACTTTCATATCTCTCTAAAAATAGGTAATTCAAAAAATAAAAATAAATATGTATACAACACTACATGGGAATAAAAAAATCATCTCAGAATTTTAAGATTGTTCTAAACCTTTATCATTTTTTATAAATCTAGAAAAAGGAAAAAAAATAAAACTATATTGATATGAGTCTAGTCTAAAGAACACAAAACATATATTTTTTTTTAACAAAAATGCAAGGTTGAAGAAATAAAATGACGAATTTTTTAAATTTGTAGGTAATTAAGGCTTAAAATTTTAGGAAGAATTAGTGGACTAAAATTGTACTACCGATAATATTTAACTATAAAAAATCAAAAAAAAATTTGATGGATAGACTTAAGGTTTATATAGTATGAAAGATAGATGAGATTAGAATTTTGAAAAATATAAGAAATCAAGAAGATGGAAGATAAAAAAGAAAAAACTTACCTATAGGTCTTCAAATGATTTGTGAAAGCTTCAATGGTTGTCGGCAATGAAAGCAGCATAGTAAAGAGAGGCAAGAAGAGACAGAATAAGTCGTCGAAGAATTCTTTTAGTTTGGATAGGTTAAAAAGTTATTATTAAAAATTTGATATAAAATTTGAGTCTACTTTAATTTGGGTCTAGAATAAATTTTGTCTTGATTTGATTTAGATTTAAGTTTAAGGTTGGAGAAATTTTTTTAGCTGTTTTGACTCAAATTTTAAATTTGAGTCTATATTTGAATTAAAATTAGAGATGCTCTTATTAGCTAATGATATCACATGATAATATTAACATAGTATTACCGTTATAATAAATATTTTTTCCAAAATCACGGAGTATGCAAATACTGTTCACTTATTCCTCCATATAAAAAAACCTTTTTTTTTCCTCTCTCTCCCCCTCTCGTCATTTTCGCACCAAAGCTCTCATCTTCTAGACACAACGTTCTCTTTGTCTGTCCCGTAGGAGCTTGACCAATTCGAAAAATCCAAACCCTAGCTTCCAGGACAAGGATCACACCTCAACGTCATACCATTAAACACCACAAACTTGTCTTTGCTTTTCACACGCTCAAAACTGCTAAAAAAAGGGAACCCTTTTTGTTCTCTTCAACTTTCGATTACTGCTAAGATTTGCAACTCCCAAACTACCTCTTCTAGGGGTCAGATTTCGATACCCTAAATGAACTTCTGATTCCGTGCATCATTTTTATTTTTGGTTCAACGATCAAGATTGGGTTGTTTAAAACAACTTATCGGTATTTCAATTAATTCTTTTTTCAGTTCAGTTAAAAATAAATCATCTACATCAGGACTAGAGTATTCATGAGGGATAAATCTTTTGAGATCTAGTCTTAAAGAATTGCCAAAATTTAAATTCGGAACGTCTAAGTTCACGACTTGTTTCTGTCACTATTTGAGTTATCCTTGGAATTTTAGATTTTTATTTTAGTGATAGTTATAAAAAATCGAAATCAAAATTCACGATTGAGAATAAATTTGTTTAGTATGATGCCAAAAAATTAATTTTCCGCACGATATTATATTGACGAGACGTTGATCCTCCTTGGATATATCCAACTGAACAAACAAGGTTCTCTCTTTTGTTCCTCTTAAACTACATAAATACTCCTTAGGCAGCTCCGTCCAAGCCTCCAAGGACTCCATAAAAACTGTTCAACAACCAGACCTCCTTTCCAAACTTTTTCAGAAGAAAACAATGTCTTCTCTCTCCTACCTTGCCAGCTATACCATCAGGTGCTCTTCCACTATTGATGGTCATGACCCAAATAAGCAAAAAATGAATAGTATCCAGGTCAATGTGACTGTTAGTCATGTCTCCACAGCTGACCTAGTAAACTATAAAAATGGAGCAGCCAACACCTTAGTTGCTCATTTTGCTGAAAATGGGTGCATCAGCAAAGAACAAGATCGCCAGAATATTCCGACGAAGAAGCAGTTCGTTGATCCTTATCGACAGGGGCTGATCATCGAAGAGGGTGTTGGGTACAGAGTCTACAGACAGACTGTTGTCGTTCGGTCCTATGAAGTTGGTCCTGATAAATCTGCAACAATTGAGAGCATTCTTAACCTTCTTCAGGTGAAAAGTTAAGAGTTCACTGTGAATATTTGCAGCAGTTGGTAAGTTAATGTATCTGGCATGCAGCCCATAACGGCATTAGTAAACGTGCAAGAAACGGAATTAGAAAACACGGTTCTCCTTTATTTTCTTCCTTTGAGGGTATCTTGTCATCAATATTATGAATTTGTTGACGATTCTCTTCGATAATGAAATTATTCTTTTATTAAAAAAAAACAAATACATACAGGAAACAGCACTGAATCATGTGTGGATGTCGGGTCTTCTTGGAGATGGATTCGGAGCCACACATGGAATGATGAGAAATAATCTCATTTGGGTTGTTTCAAGGATGCAGCTCCAAGTGGATCATTATCCTATCTGGTAAGCCCCCTTCATCATCAATTCCACTATTTATATTGTTCAGACTACTAAAAGAGTACATTCAAATCAAGATAAGAAAATAAGAGATGTTCAAACACTTTGATACTATTAGTATATAATTGTGCACTCCACCATTCTCATCAAACCATTAGAAGTTATATAGTTGGATTCAAACAGAACTAAAAAACTCGCGCTCAAGCTCTGAGTTGTTTGATTCAATCTTTGAATGAAACCATCTTACTTTTGTCTCCTTTTAGATGTGAGATTACTTTAGTCTGGCTCACCTGTGGTTTCAACAACATCAATTAGAGCATGGCATCGGATATACATGTGCCAAAGATGATCACCCATCTAGAATAGGCAAGATAGAAACAATTCAGTCTCTTGATATACAAATAATGCATGAAAATACCATTTTAAGTCATATTGTTAAGACACTTCCGTTTATGTTTCTCAATCACAACTAAATAAAGAACTTTTTCACAGGGGTGAGGTAATGGAAATCGACACATGGGTCGGGGCGTCAGGGAAAAATGGCATGCGGAGAGATTGGCTACTCCGAAGCCATGCCACAGGCCTTGTATTTGCCCGCGGAACCAGGTATATATATCTCACAATCTTTTATCTGTACTTAATATTGGCAGGGTTTCTGTCATTTGTGTTTGTATCTGAGGGTCCAATTATGGAACAGTACATGGGTGATGATGAACCAGCAAACCAGGCGGCTTTCAAAAATGCCAGATGAAGTGAGAGCTGAGATTTCACCATGGTTCATTGAGAAGCAAGCAATCAAATATGAAATCCCTGAAAAAATTGAGAAGTTGGATGATAAGGCAAAATATGTCAACTCGGGCTTGAAGGTAAAACCCTGTCCGTTAGACTTCAATGACTAATGCCATAGGGAGAGTATTGTGAATCTAGTATTAGGTACGATTAACGAGAAAGAAATAAAGCGACTACAATACATAGAGCTGGAAGTTGCACTAGTGAACGGAGAAGGAACTATCAAACAAATAACACACATTAATATGGTTTGACAGAAATCCTATTTTCATGAGCAGTTGTTCTCCAATATATATTTGAATTGTTAGGATTAAAAATTACATGCCGACTGGTTTACAACCCTAAACCCTGTACAAGGTATCTGACTTCTGACAAACAACAGTAAACATCTGTCATGAGCTTGTGGATATCGTTTCGCTTTGTTCATGGAACCTTGGAATTTTAGGTTTAGTGAATATGAATTATCTAATATTTGGAACAATGGGCATTTACTAGTTGATATAATTTCTCATTTGCAGCCCAAGAGGAGTGATTTGGACATGAATCATCATGTAAACAACGTCAAATATGTTCGATGGATGCTTGAGGTAAGCAACAATCCTATAATTCTTATATCAAATTCGATTCAAATCAACATGGAACCTAAAATTTCAAACTTTCTCATCTTCAGACCATCCCTGATGAATTCTTGGAGGATCACCAGCTGTCCGGTATCGTCCTAGAATACAGAAGAGAATGTGGAAGTTCAGATACCGTTCAATCCCTTTGTCAACCTCAAGAAGATGGAATTTTCAATGGAGTTCAACAAGAAAATAGCATCGGTTTACTCAATGGATATTCATTGACACCAGGAATTCTTGAGGGCAATGGAATCCGGGGGTCCTTATATCGGGACCATGTAGCTATACACTACCTCCAAATTAAAGGAGACTCTAAAAATGAAGAGATTGTTAGAGAAGAACCACGTGGAAGGGCAAAGCTCTCTAGCCGCTATTTTCTACATAGTGACCTATATTACAGAGCCGATTACTAAATTACATTACTTTTTTAACTTATTTTATGCGGTATTTTGATTTCCAAATCATTTTCAGACTTGCCGTTTGTTTGCATAAAAACGTCACGTAAATTCACATTTTTTAATGTAAAAAGTATGTTTACAAAACACGTTTTCGGAGAAGAAAAAAAGCACTATTTTGATTTTGAAAAATATGGATTTGACAAGAATAACTCAT